GATAAGGTCTGTGGTCATAAATTCACCTTTGAAAGACTGTTTGCCAGGCCTTTGCTGAAGGTGAATGAGAGGAATTAACATTCGTTTAATAAAAGGAGTTTTGCCGGGACCAGGAATCTGTTTCATACTTTTTGGGAAAGCCTAGGTCAGAATAGATTATATAAGCTCACTTACAATGAACAACTTACTAAATATTTAGAGATCTTTTGGCTGTTCATTCAAAACTGCAGAATAAAATATCTATGTTATATGTTTTGGCTATTCTGAAAAACCCTTTTCTCTCTGGTTTATTTCAGACAACATCCAGTAGAATTTCACTTAAAGGAAGCCAAAAGATTGAAGCACAAAGCTGATGCAATGGTAGGTTTGCCTGCAGAAAAGTTGCAAGTGTGAATAGGCTGGGCTCCAAATAGTACAGTCAACTTGAGGGATTGCTGGATAAAGCAAACCCACCTCGAGAAATAGCCATGGATCAGCTTCAAAGAGCTCTCTTGTCATGATTTAAAAATTGAGATGAAATCTCTCTTGCCATATGTCTTTTCTGTGATCGAGAGCAAGTTGAAAGCTTTGCCAAGCAGTGCAAATTGGAAATGTTTCCATCTCAGAACACTCACGCCAAGGTCAAAACTGTGGAGATTTCCAACTGAAGCTGTCTTCTTCTGGGGTTGGAAGAGTCTGTTGAAAGACGGAGGAGGCAGGCTGCCAAGGGGTTGACCTCTGTTCACATATAAAGATAAAGCACTTTCTTTGTTGCTTAAAAGTTTTTGGGTGACCAGACACCCAAGTCCTCTTGCATAACGCCATGTAACTAAGTTAAATCCAGAAGGTGCTTTTTCAAAAGGCAACTAGACTTTCTTGATTTCTTTTTCTCCTTTGAAAAGCTTTCTTCAGTTCAGTTCAAAGCCTCTTGGATGAGAAACAAAACATTTTTCAAAGGAAAAAAAAAGTCCCAGTTACTTTTTGGAAAAGCACCTTTGGGACAGAGGTAGGTTGCTCCCGGTTTGGCCCGGATCGGGCAAACTGGTGGTAGCGGTGATTGGAGGCTCCACCCACCCTCCCGGACGAAGCAGCGAGCGCATGCGCCCGAACCAGTAGTAAAATAATTGGCAACCCACCACTGCTTTGGGATAGCCGTGACCTGGATGGTTGAGAATGTCTGTAAACATTATCCAAGTTAAGGGGAAGAAACATACTTCCTCTAGTGTGATTATTTGAATTCACTTAGACACAGAGGACAACATCACCATATCCACATGGACTGGTAAACAAACAAATGCTTCACAATATACCTGAAAGGTTCTTATTAAATGGTCAGTCTGCTTTATAAATCCACTTTGGGGATATCCTCTCACTCAGAAAAGCGATAAGAATTGTATAGGTCAGGGGGTTGGCAATCTTAAACCACTCAAAGAGCCAGAAAGGTCCTAACCGGAAACCCCCCATTCAATTCTTAAGCCGATTGGAAGTCGGTTCCCCCACCATAGAGTCTCCTCCTAGTGTGGCATCCTTTTTCCTCTACCTGTTCTAACCGAAAGCCCTATCAATTGTGGAGCCGACTGATGACAAGGAGCCGCAGCAGAGGGATGAAAGAGCCACATGCGGCTCCAGAGCCACGGGTTGCTGACCCTGGTATAGGTGAATAAAAATACGTTACAGTTCCCAATGATAGAGCACCTTCATTCCTAGCGAGTCATCCGTTGCGCTTAATTATTCCATTCTTCTAATAGGAGAGAAATTGAGATTGAGGTTCAGTTCAAAGTGGCTAGATTCATCATACTGTTTTTCCTAACTTAAAAAAAAAAACTTAATACATTGTAGGAAACCAATCGCTTTAGGTAATTTAGTTTTAAAGCCACCAAGACCCACTATAACATTTGAATTGAATCACTTTTGTCTGGTGCCCTTCCAATGCCTTCGACTGCAACTCTGGAATGGCCGTTGACTATATAGTTAGTGCCTGTATACAAAACGGTGGAAGTATGTCAGGAAAACTAAAGTGCCTCACTTGGCTGGCTTGTGGGTTAATCCGTGCTAACTTTGTTCCCAATAGACAGACAAAGTTGGAAAGGCCTTCAAATACTTGGATGCTGCCCTATCCTTCATTGAGTGTGGCATTGCAATGGAATCAGACCCGCTCTCACCAAAGCCAGCCTACACCATGTTTGCAGAAACCATAGACCTCATTAAGTAAGTAAACAACCGTTTCTGTTCTAACCTGCTGACTTCAGGTTCTTCCTCTGATATTCAGAAGGTTCCACCTTGAGTTCACTGTTCCTCCCTGTAGCTTTTTTTGGGTTCTCTGCCTATCTTGTGAATCCAGTTAGTAGGCCTTTCCTGTTGTTACTCCTATCCAAAACCATCCCCTTCTAGATATTGTTTTTGTCTTCCTTTTATTGTCTGGGCCTTCTAGTCTAGGGTTGTATCTTATGATTTATAATGAATGAATTTTTATGATGGCTAGGATCATGATTTATCACTCATTGCTTCTATGTCCACGGAGAGCTTATTCCTTGCAGTGCACCGGAGACAAATTCCTTGTGTGTCCAATCAAACTTGGCCAATAAAGAATTCTATTCTATTCTATTCTATTCTATTCTACTCTTTTTGTTATTCTACTCCTAGCCTAGCCTATTCCTCTACTCCACTCCACTCTTCCACTCTACTCGATTATTCTACTCTACTCTTATGCTATTCTGTTCTATTCTACTCCTTACTCTGCTCTATTCTATTCTACTCTTTTTGTTATTCTACTCCTAGCCTAGCCTATTCCTCTACTCCACTCCACTCTTCCACTCTACTCGATTATTCTACTCTACTCTTATGCTATTCTGTTCTATTCTACTCCTTACTCTGCTCTATTCTATTCTACTCTTTTTGTTATTCTACTCCTAGCCTAGCCTATTCCTCTACTCCACTCCACTCTTCCACTCTACTCGATTATTCTACTCTACTCTTATGCTATTCT